CTGGCGGCCCGGGTTCGGATCCCGGGCGCGCACCGACGCACCGCTTCTCTGGCCAAGCTGAGGCCGCATCCCACGTACAGCAACTAGAAGGATGTGCAACTATGACATACAACTATCTACTGGGGCTTTGGGGAAGAAAAAGGAGGAGGATTGGCAATAGATGTTAGCTCAGAGCCGGTCTTCCTCAGCAAAAAAGAGGAGGATTAGCACAGATGTTAGCTCAGGGCTGATCTCCCTCACAAAAAAAAAAAAAAAAAAAGACTTACTTTACTTTTAATTTATTACTCATAATGTCAGAGTCCATGCCCACTATTGGATATTTTAGGGCAGTGGGTGCTCTAACCATGGGGAATTAAGGCAAGAGAGTAGTTCTGATGGTTAAGGTGAGACATACCTATTTGTCCTCTAAATTATATCTAGTAATTCCCCTAAGATTATAGAGGATACCTTGTTTAAATTTAGTGGGATCTCCAGGTAGAAACGTAATTTGAGCCCAGTATTGATTTAAATCCGTGAAGGTTTACCAATTGCTGCATTTCAGCAGATATTAAAGTTAATTCAGAACCTATATCATAGAGGCATAAGAGCCCTTTTATCTTTTTGTTGTATAAGTTCTTTCAGTAAACTTTGGAGTCCCAATTGGGTCAAATTGTGGACTCTTGTTCCAATTTAATTGTTTTTTCCTCCAGAGAACCTCAAATCAGTCAGGGTTAGGGGGTGCCCACATGGCAAAGGTTACTTTATAGGGTTTAAGGACCCTGGACTTAAGTTGATCTTGAATTAACCTCTTTGCTCTGCCCTCAGCTGCCGTAGTTGTTTTCCCTACAACCCTGGGGATTAGGATCTTTGTTGTGACAGATGTGGGCAGCAGAGTGGCCCAGTGGAAGAGCGCTGTGCCCAAAACCCAGAGGCTGGTGCATCGAAACTATCCTCTGCTGCAGCCTCACCTTTTCCTGCTCTGCGGGCATCCCCCCCCCCCCCCCCGTACAAATTCCCTTAGTATTGTAGATTTCTAGCCTTGTAAAGTCAGGGCTTTTGGTTTCTGTCTCTGACTAATCACTCATAGTGAGGATCATCTGGGTGGTTATGGGAAAAATTTGGGGTCCTGGTGGCCCACCTCTTCCTCCAGGCAATGCCAGTCAATCTCCCTGGCGTCAGGGTCCACATCTAGTAAGGTCATTTTGTCTGTGCCCTGATGAAGAGCAAATGGGGTGACGCATGGGAGCTGGGGCCAAGTCCCCCATACAGATGCTGGTATTCCCCTGTCACATAAGAGGCTGGAGGTGGGCTTCTGAGCTTTCACTCATGACAGAACTGAAGCTCAGAGACATTAACTGACCTTATGCCTAATTGCTTGTAAAAGATTGAATTCCAAGGATCAAGTTTCCAGTCCAGGACACTTCTCTGACTTGTGCAAAAGCCAAAATTAACAACGCCTGTTCTTTTTTTCTTTTTTGCTGAGGAAGGTTTGCTCTGAGCTCACATCTGTGCCAGTCTTCCTCTATTTTGTATGTGGGTCGCCACCACAGCGTGGCCATTGACGAGTGGTGTAGGTCCGTGTCCAGGAACCGAACCTGGGCCGCCAAAGTTTAGTGCACTGAACTTAACCACTAGGCCGTGGGGCTGGACCCCAGCGGTCCCCAGCAACCCCCAGTCTTAATCAGAAAACTCAGTAACGATTATTTTGTTATTCAGTTTTTAGTGAAAAGATAAGTAATTTGTAAAAAACACAAGTGCTGAAGTTACTTGTCCTATCATTTGTCCTACTTTTTTTTTATTTTATTGAGGTCATGATAGTTTATAACATTGTGAAATTTCAGTTGTACAGTATTATTTGTCCATCACCGTATGTATATGTCTCTTTACTCCTTATGCCCACACCCTAGCCCCGGTAACCACTAATCTGTTCTCTTTATCCATGTGTTTGTTTATCTTCCACATATGAGTGAAATCATACGATGTTTGTCTTTCTCTGTCTGGCTTATTTTGCTTAACATAATACCCTCAAGGTCTATCCGTGTTGTTGCAAATTGGACAATTTTGTCTTTTTTTATGGCTGAGTAGTATTCCATTGTATATATATACCACATCTTCTTTATCCATTCATCAGTTGCTGGACACTTGGGTTGCTTCCACATCTTGGCTATCGTGAATAATGCTGCCGTGTACATAAGAGTGCATAAGTCTCTCTGAATTGTTGATTTCAAGTTCTTTGGATTTTACCCAGTAGTGAGATAGCTGGGTCGTACGGTATTTCTATTTTTAATTTTTTGAGAAATCTCCATACTGTTTTCCATAGTGGCTGCACCAGTCTGCATTCCTACCAGCAGTGTATGAGGGTTCCCTTTTCTCCACATCCTCTCCAACATTTGTTATTTTTTGTCTTGGTGATTATAGCCATTCTAATGGTATAAGGTGAGATAAATGTTCTATTTTTTTTTTTTTTTGTGAGGAAGATTAGCCATAAGCTAACATCTGTTGCCAGTCCTCCTCTTTTTGCTGAGGAAGATTGGCCCTGGGCTAACATCCGTGCCCGTCTTCCTCTACTTTACATGGGATGCCGCCATAGCATGGCTTGACAAGTGGTACATTGGTCCATGCCTGGGATCTGAACCTGTGAACCCCGGTCTGCTGAAGTGGATCGTGCATACGTAACCACTATGTCACCAGGCTGGGCCCTCAATGTTCTATTTTTTAAAAAAGCTGTATTTACTTCTGCATGGCCTTAATTTGTTGCATTAAGAGTGGCTGTGGTATCTAAAACTACCGTTGTTGTTTGGTCAGTTACATTTGCATTGTCTTAGTAGTGTTTTTTCTTCTATGCCAGTGGCCCTTAATCCTGGCTGAATATTAGAAATACTTGGGAACTTAGAAATGCTAGTGCCTAGGCCATATTCCAGATCAAGTGAATCAGAATCTCAGGTGATAGAATTCTGGCTTGAAATTAAAAATGCATGCATGCCTGTGCGTGCGTGTGTGTGTGTCTCTCTCTCACCCCATGCTTCTAATGTACAGTGAAGGTTGAGAAGCTGATTCCAAGCCTGACTTTTTCTGATTTAAGCAAAACTGCAGTGCTTAGTTTAGAGGTGCTATATGATTGTACATTTGTAATGTATAAAAATGTACACATTGCAGAAAACATCTATATTTAATTCATGGGAGCTTGTTGGATATTTCTGTAAACGAGACAGCTGCCATTAACGATAGCTATGGCAGGAGGTTGAAAGAATGGGACACTTGAAGTGTACCAGTGACAGGGACCCTTTTTTGGGCCTCGGGCAGAGGGTTGAGTTAATTACACTCCCCAGTTTCTGGCATACCATCATCCAAATCCATCTTTTTAAATGTTTTCTTTTCTGATGTACAGTCGTGCATCGCTTAACAACAGGGACATGTTCTGACAGATGCATCATTAGGCGATTTCATTGTGTGAACGTCATAGAGCATACTTATACAAACCTCAGTGGTATAGCCTACCACACACCAGGGCTATATGGGTACTAATCTTACGGGACCACCATTGTATATGTGGTCTGTCATTGACTGAAACGTCATTATGTGGCACATGACTGTATTTGTGTATCCTTTTGTTTTTATGTCATTCTAAAACATACTAGTGTTCAACGTGCACGAATTTTTAATTGGCGTAAAAATGGAATGTGTGGTTCCTTAGCCCGAGTTTGTTCTCTTTGCCATTCAGCAGTGTATTTTTAAGTTGTATCCATGGTGGGTATGACTGCTGCGGCTTTCTGTCCTCCACATCTTCCTAATCATGGGCCTGTGGGAGAGCTCTGTGGGCATAGCCCCTGGAGGGGACTTCCGTATAACTTAGTTACTCTAGACTGCTGTCCAGTCTGGCTGCAGGGTCTGCCTTCCTGCCAGCTGTGCCTGAAGATTTGTGTCTCCAGCCCTGGCTTTCTATCAACACTTGGTATTATTTAGTTATTGAACAGATGCACGTGTTGTTCTAGGCACTTGGGATATATCAGTGAACAAAACCAGATGAAAAAGGAAAAAGAAATCCTGTCTTGGAGCTTATATTTTAGCTTTCTAACAATTGCCAATTTGGTGAGTGTAAATTAGTATTTTATTGTTTTAATTTATATTTTTCTAGTATCTCTTCATAGCGTTAGCCATTTGGGATTCCCTCTATTGGATGTCTGATATTTTCTATAGAATGCAGGAGTTTCTTGGGAATATTTATTTGTCCCTGTTGGTTTTAGATATTTTTAGATATCCTTACTGTTTGTAATATGATGTAGTGTCTTTCACAGATTTAAATGTATGCTTCTAATTGTATCGTTTAGAAAATAATTCATTTAGTAAGGGTCTTTAGGAATAGGACACACAGTTCAAGGTGAAGGTTAGTTCTCTCCTCACTTGCTGTGTAAGGAGTTTCATGACATTTGTTCTTAATTGAAATTTTAAATTGTCAGTGGCCAAAAGTCATGGTTTCCAACTTTTCTTTGGTGTCCCAATGCTCCTGAATTATACTCTGTGAATGGTAGTGGCCCTGTGTAGCAGTGGTTCTCAGTTGGTGTCTGGGTAGGGCAATGTATGGAGTTAAAAATTATTTTTGAATCATACTCTCATTCCACATCTTCCCTTCCCATGGACACACAGCAATTGGCTGTCACTGGATGAAAGCAATTAGTATAAAATTCAAGTAGATAAATATCAAAGACTAAGTTTCTTAGTGGAGAAATGTAGTAGGAAAGTGAGACAATATTTTGGAAGACATGCTTCAAAGAAGAATTTGAGTGATATATTGACTTCTTTATTAAAAGGGTCACTGGGCCTTACATTACTTAGTAAGTCACATTGTACCTGTTATGGTGATGATTCATGTAATTTTTTTAAATCATCAAACATCAGTTAATGATGTGTGTTGTAACTTAACCTTTCCATTTCTGGGAGGGATATTTGTGAAGAGACTGACGAGTGGATGTTGCATTTTGAAAAACAATTTATAGTTTTTTTTTTAATTTTTAATTTTCCAGATGATGGTGTTGATACTCAGAGTGGAACAAAGAAAGAAGATCTGAATGACAAAGAGAAAAAGGATGAAGAAGAAATGCCTGCACCTGCATATAGGGCGAAATCAATCTTAGAGAGCTGGGTATGGGGCAAGCAACCAGGTATTATGATCTTCTGAGTTTCTGGTACTTTGGAAAGCTTGGTCTGGCACTCATTTTCTATACACCACAGATGGGCTTTTTTTTTGGTAGTGGAATTTTTAAAAATTTAACTTAAATTTTTTTTATATTGTGGTAAATTATACATAATATACAATTTACTATTTCAGCTGTTTTTAAATGTACAGTTCAGTTTATTGTGCAATCATCACCACCATCCATTTCCAGAGCCTTTTCATCTTCCCAAACTGAAACCCTGTACTTATTAAACAATAACCCCCTTTCTTCCCTACCGTCTAGCCCCTGGAAACCGCTGTTCTGCTTCCTGTTTTGAGAATTTTGACTAGTCTAGTTATGTCAGATAAGTGGAATTGTATAATATTTATTTTTTTGTGTCTGGCTTATTTCATTATTTAGCATAATGTCTTCAAGTTTCATCCATGTTGTAGCATGTAGCAGAATTTCCTTCCTTTTTAAGGCTTAGTAATATTTCCATTGTATATTTATACCACCTTTTGTTTATCCACTCATCCGTGCATGGGCATTTGGGTTGCTTCTGCCTTTTGGCTATTGTGAATAATGCTGCTATGAACATGGGTGTATACAAGTTCGAGTCTCTGCTTTCAATTCTTTGTGTATATACCTATGGGTGGAATTGCTGCATCATGTGGTAATTCTGTTTAACTTTTTGAGGACCTTGGAAAGTTTTCCACAGTGGCTACACCATTTTATATCCCCACCAGCAATGTATGAGTGATCCAGTTTCTCTGTATCCTCACCAGCATTTGGTGGTGTCACTATTTTTTATTTTAGCTATTCTGATAGCTGTGTGGTGATATCCCATTGTGGTTTTAAATTGCTGTTGCCTATGGCTGCTGATGATAAACCTCTTTGTATGTGCTTATTTACCATCTATGTGTCTTCTTCAGTGGAATGCCTCTTCATGTCTTTTGCCCATTTCCTAGTTGGATTTTTTTTTTATTGTTGAGTTTTTTCTTTCTTTCTTTCTTTCTTTTTTTGTTGAGGAAGATTAGCTATGAGCTAACGTCTGTTGCCAATCCTCCTCTTTTTGCTGAGGCAGATTGGCTCTGGGCTAACATCCATGCCCATCTTCCTCGACTTTATATGTGGGATGCCTGCCATAGCATGGCTTGACAAGCGGTGCGTAGGTCCGTGCCTGGGATCCGAACCTGTGAACCCTGGGCCTCCGAAGCAGAGCGCATGAACTTAACCACTACGCCACTGGGCTGGCCCCTATTGTTGAGTTTTGAGAGTTCTTTATATATTCTAGATACTAGTTCTTTGTCCTACATATGGTTTGCAAATACTTTTTCTTAGTTCACAGCTTATCTTTTCATCTTCTTAACAATGTCTTTAGTGCAGCAGAAGTTTTTAAATTTTCATAAAGTGCAATTTATTAGTTTTTTCTTTTATAGATTTCGCTTTTATCAAATATTAGAACTCTTTGCCTATCCCTAGAGCCAGAAGATTTCCTCCTATGTTTTTTCCTAAAAGTTTTATGTTTTCTGTTTATGTTCCTGATCCATTTTGGGTTAAATTTTGTGTACAATGTGAGGTTTAGGTCAAGTTTCTTTCTTTTTTTTTTTTCTCTGTAGATATCCATGTGCTTCAGCATCATTTTTTGAAAAGACTGTCTTTCTTCCATTGAATTGCTTTTGCACTTTTGTCAAGAATTAGTTGGGCATATTTGTGTGGTTTATTTCTGGGTTTTCTGTTCTGTTCTACTGATTCATATGTGTATCTCTCTGCCCATACCACACTCTTGATTACTATGCTAAAGAGTTAAGTCTTGAAATCAGATAGACTGGTTCCTCTCACTTTGTTCTCTTTCTTCCAAATTGTTCTGGCTGTTTTAGTTCCTTTGCCTTTCAATATAAATTTTGAATAATTTGATTTCCATGTCTTCATTGCTAGTGTATAGAAATACAATTTATTTCTATTTGTTTATCTTATATCCTGCAACCTTGCTGAACTGACTTAGTTCTAGGAGTTTTTTTGGTGGATCCTTGAGATTTTTTACCTAGACACTTTTATTTCTCTCTTTCCAATCTGTGTGTCTTTTATTACATTTTCTTTCCTTATTATTCTGGCTAGAACTTCTAGTATTATGTTTATAAGAGTGGTGAGAGCAAACATCCTTACTTTATTGCTGATCTTAGGGGAAAGACATTCAGTCTTTCATCATTAAGTATAATCTTAGCATGGGTTTTTGTAGATGCTGTTTATAAAAGGGAGGAAGTTCCCGTCTATTCCAATTTCCTGAGAGTTTTTGATCATGAATCAGTGTTGAATTTTGCCAAATGCTTTTTCTACATTGACTGATTTGTCATTGTGTGATTTTTTTTTTCTCTTTAGCCTGTTAATATGAGAGATCACACTGATTGATGTTTAACTGTTGAACCAGCTTTGCATTCCTGCAGTAAACACCACTTGGGGATGGTGTATAATTCTTTTTATGTAATTTTACTTGCTAATATTTTGCTAAGAATTTTTGTGCCTATATTCATGAGAACTATATTCTGTGATTTTCTTTTTTTATACTGTCTTTGTCTGGTTTTGATATCATGTTAATACTAATTTCTTAAAATGAATTGGGAGGTATTCCTTTTTCTGTTTTCCAGAAGAGATTGTTTAGAATTGGTGTTAATTCTTTTTTAATGTTTGGTAGCATTCTCCAGTGAAGCCGACTGGGCCTGGTGATTTCCTTTTCAGGATTCTTAAAATTATGAATTGAATTTTCTTAATAGCTATACAGCTATTCAAGTGATCTGTTTCATATTTGCTGAGTTTTGGTAGTTTGTACTTTTCAAGCAATCAGTCCATTTTGTCTAAGTTGTCATATTTATGTGTGTAGAGTTGTTCCTAGTAATTCCTGATTATGTTATTGATGTCTGCAGAGCCTCTTTTTTTCTTGATGGTGATAATTTATGTCTCTCCTTTTTTTGGTCGGTCTTGCTTAGAGGTGTGTCAATTTTATTTATCTTTTCAAAGAACCAGTTCTTTGTTTCGTTGATTTTTTTTCTCTGTTGTTTTTCCATTTTCATTCTCATTGTTTTTCCTGTTATTTTAATTAGTTCCTTCTTTCTACTTCTTTTTTTGTTTATTTTGCTATTCTTTTTCTTGGTTGCTGAGATGGGAGCTTATATTGATTGATTTAGAAGTTTCTCACTTTTCTAATGACCCACTTAGTACTATACATTTTTCTCTCTCAGCAGTGCTTTAGCTTTTTCTCACACGTTTTGATGTGTTGCGTTTGCATTTTAATTCAGTTCAGTATATTTTTGATTTCCCTTCCTCTTTGACCCATGGATTATTTAGGAGTGTGTTTAGTTCCCAAGAATTTGGAGATTTTCCTATTATCTTTCTGTTACCAATTTCTAGTTTGTTTCCATTGTTTTGAAGAACACACTCCATATGATTTCACTTTTAAGTTTGCTGAGGTTTGTTTTGTGGCCCAGGATATGGTCTCTCTTGGAATTTATGTGGGTACTTAAAATGATTGCATATTCTGCTGTTGTTGGCTGGAGTGTTGTCAACATGTTGATTAGATCCTGTTGGTTGATGGTATTGAATTCTTTTATATCCTTGCTGATTTTCTGTCTCCTTATTCTGTCAATTGTTGAGAGATAGATGTTGAGGTCTCCAACTATAGGAGTTGAGTGTGTTTTTCTCTTTTCGGTTCTTTTTTTTTTTTGTCCCATATTTTGCAGTTTGGTGTGTGTACATTTGGGATTATTATGTCTTATTGCTGAGTTGACCGTTTTCTTATTTGGTAATGTTGCTCTGTGTTCCTGGTAATTATCTTTGCTCTGAAGTTTACTTTATTTGATATTAATATGGCCACTCCTGCTTTCCTTTGATTAATGTTTGCATGTTAGTATTTTTTTTCCTATCCTTTTACTTTCAATCTGACTTTTATTGCCAATCTTGCCTGTTGAAATCTGCCTATTTCATCTTGTAGATTGCATAAAATTAGGGCATGTTTTTTAGTTCACTCTGCCAATGTCTGTCTTTTAATTGGTGTATTTAGACTGTTTGCGTTTAATTTGATGTAATTTTTGGTAAATTAGGGCTTAAGACTGCCATTTAATTTTTTGTTTTCTGTTTGCTCTGTTTTTCATTTCTCTGTTTGGTTTTTGCGGCCTCCTTGTGGTTTACTTGACTGTTTTTAGAATTCCATTTTGATTTATCTACAGTGCTGTCGAGTGTTTCTTTTTGTGTAGCTTTTCTTGTGGTTTGTCTAGGTGATGCATTATATATACATATAACTTACCACAGTCTTTTGATTGTGTCATTTTACCAGTTTGAGTGGCATACAGAAACCTTACCTCCCTTTATGCTTTCCTGTTTATGTTATGATTGCCTTTAATATTTCCTTTGCATTTATTTATAACCACATTGGCTATGTTATAATTTTTGGTTGAAGCTTCAAACATAATTTAGAAAAGTCAAGAGATGAAGAAAAGCCTGTTGTATTTACCCATATGTTTCTTACTGTGTTCTTCCTGATGTTCCAAGGTTCCATCTTTTATCATTTCCATTCTGTTTAGAGGGCTCCCTGTAGCCATTCTTTTAGTTGCATCTGCTGATGACAAATTCTCTTAGTTTTCCTTCGTCTGAGAGTGTTTGATTTCTCCTTCTTTCCTGAAGGACATTTTTGCCAGATTTAGGATTCTGGGTTAATGATTCTTTTCTTTCATCACTTCAAAAATATTTTGCCATTTTCAGCTGGCTTCCATCATTTCTGATGAGAAATTTGCTATAAGTTGAATTGTTATTGCACCGTAGTTAAGGTGTTGTTTTTCTCTGGCTGCTTTCAAGGTATTTTCATTGTCTTTAGTTTTCAGAGGTTTAATTATGATGTCTTAGTGTGGATTTCTTTGGGTTCATCCTGTTGGAATTTGCTGACTTTCTTGGATCTATAGATTTACATCTGTTGCCAAATTTGGAAAGTTTTCAGCCATTGCTTCTTAGAATACTTT